AGCTTTTTACAACCTCAACTTAAGAAAAATTCAGAAAAGAACATTTCATAAAAGGAAGTCCCCTTCTGTGTCCTTTCTGGACCCAGGAACCTATCATTTTCAGGCCTTATTCTATAGGCTTCCAATCCGGACAGCAGGCCCACCCTCATAAGTATCATGGTGATCATTCAGTGTGCTCAAACAGGTATTTCCCAAAACATTGGGAGTTCTGTAACCCCCTGATTTATAGTGTGAAATCGTTGATCCCCTAGGATTTGGGAACAAATTATATAACTGTTCCCATCTCTTAAAATAGCATATTGACTAAGCCTATGATCTTTGATGTCAAAAAGCCAGGGATCAAATTCCAGCTCTGTCACTCACTAGCTGTGTCACCTTGAGTAAATTGTTTAAGCTCTGGGAATTCCAGGTTTTTTCTATATACAATAAGTGCAATATTGGTTATCTGACAGGATTTTTGTTGGTATTCTAATAAGATCAGATATATTGTTTTTTAAGTTCTTAATCAGGGGGTTGTTTTTATCAACCATTTTAGTAGAAGGCTTAGAGTTGGACTTTAAGGTGACAAAGATATCTGTCTGCATCCTTGTCATCTCACTGTTTGACCTTGAACAAATTAGATCTTCTATATCTCAATTGTCTCAATCAGAAAATTGGGATGATAAGGCTGGAGAGATAGTACGTTGGGTCTTGGACTTGCCTTGTACACAACTGACTCAGATTTGGTCCCTGATGCCCCAAAAGGTCCTCAAGCCCTGGCAGAATTGATCCCTGAAAATAGAGCTAGTAGTAAACCCTGAACACCACTGGATGTAGCCCAAAAAACAAAAACAAAATTTTAAATAAAGTGAAGTTAGAAGTATAGCCCTCTCTCCTGAAAGGTTTTATTAGATTAAGTGAGGAGGAGTGATAGCACAGCGGTAGGGTGTTTGCCTTGCACACAGCCAGCCCGGCTGAGCCGGGTTCGATTCCTCCGCCCCTCTCGGAGAGCCTGGCAAGCTACCAAGTGTATTCAATATGCCAAACACAGTAACAAGAAGTCTCACAATGGAGACGTTACTGGGCCCGCTCGAGCAAATCTATGAACAACAGGAGGACAGACAGAAAGAAGTAATATGATGTACTAGCACACTGCCCAGCACTCACCAGAATAATAATAAAATGTACTTTTATTGACATTGCACGCCACTTGAATAGAGAAAGATGTCTGTGAGTTTTAGACAGCCACCAACAAATGCCACAGACCAAGTCCATTAACAGCATAAATTTATCTTCTTACTAGTGTGTAGAAATAGGAGAAGTTCAGATGGAAAGAGGTCTCAGTGGATCTAGTCGAATCTCTGAGGCAATTGACAGCACTTAAGAGGAGAGAGGCTATTCTTATTTCTCTCATTGTGATTACTGTTGATATATGTGAACCTAAGAGTGAGATGAGAGCATGTAACGACACAGAAATACACGCACACACATACACACACACTCAAACAGAACATAAGCTTGACATCAAAGACATGATGATGAATCCCGTTTTGACCTGTTCTGTGTAACATCTGGCCACTTCTTCCCTCGTTGAGAATGAACAGTGATAGATACTTGACGGTGGAGTTCTTGGAGAACTAGGATGAAGTCAGTACAGCACCTTGCTGTCACCCTGGCTCGTAACAGGAGCTCAATAGATGTTCAGCCCCACTTAGAATCACCTTAGTGCGGGATTTCAATGGCGTCTGAGTCACACCGCGAACTCCAAGGTCCCTGCAGAACCATGCTGTGCTCTCCACAGAGTCTGTCTCCAGGAATCAGAGCCTTGATTGGGTTAAGTGGTGCTGCTTTTTTGACTTATAATATGCTGGTGATTGCTGATGATTTCAGGTATGTTTCTAGAGCCTGGCAGCCTCCTCAGAAATAGAAGCAGCCCCTTGGCAGCGAGCAGTCATTAAGAAGTAAGGTACCAGTCAGGTGGGAAAACAAGCACACCCGCAGGGAGACACATCAAGCATGGCGCTTTGAATATTGTCTGTGATGATCTTCCTATCACACATGCTTAATTCAATTACACTGACCCTCCAGCCCCGGGTCTTTTGTCTCAGGCTCAGTCTGTAAGTGTGCGACAGCTGGAGAAAGAAGCTGTGTTGGTGGGAATCAGACTGCTGTGTGGTTACAAAGGCCGAGAAGTTAATGTGCTGTTTTGTTTCCTTCCCAAGGAAGGGTCACTAGATCTAAGACGAGGTTATGCCATGATTGAAAGGCTGCTGAGAAAATCTGATTAAAATTCCCTCTACTTTTTTCTATGCTGTCTGCCTGAGAACAATGAACAGAGAGGACAGCATTTCCAAAGCAAATATTTAAGGTCCACTAGTGGTCTGCAAATCTTGGTCTGAGAAATTTTCTAGGGGTAACTTAAGATTTAGAGTGTGGGCTAGAGTGATAGCACAGTGGGTAGAGTGTTTGCCTTGCATGATGCCAACCTGGGTTCGGTTCCCAGCATCACATATGGTCCCCCGAGCACTGCCAGAAGTAATTCCTGAGTGCAGAGCCAAGAGTAAACCCTGTGCATTGCCTGGTGTGACTCAAAAAGAAAAAAAAATATTTAGGGTGCTGCTGAGAAATGGAAACTTGTATTGGTTCATTGACTCATGCAGCAATAATTCTGGAATGTGTATTAGATACCAGATTATACGTTGTTCCAGCCTACGAGACATTAAGTCTGTCTTCAAGGGGACACTGCAACAGATAAAACAAATAGGAACATGCCATGATGATCTGTTAGGTTATGTGAGAGGAAGTTAGGGTTGAACCCTCTGTCAGGCATGGCAAACCACAAAGCCATAATTGAACTGGATCAGAAAATATGAAAAGGAACAGGGATTTGTACTATTAGTGATTCTAAGGGAGTAAATCTGAAGACACTTCTAAGAAAGCACAGGTTTTTTTTCTAGTTTTTTACTTATATCAAGTCTATTCTCTGGCATTTATTTTGGCATTGGGAGCTACAGTACCCAGAACAGAGTTCAATTCCTTATGTCAGATACCATCCAAGGAGGTACCTTGTTCCTTCAACTTCTCCAGTTCATGAGTGAAATCTACTCATTCATTCCATCGAATAGAGAAGAAAATAGAAGGAGCCTCATTTGGGCTTTGGAGGGCTTTTCTGTCCCCATAAAATCTGGTGAGGTGGATCTGTCATATTTTCCAGCTACTTTTAGCCCTTTCCACATCTCTTCAGGCCACCCTTCACTGCCTTTCTCATGTTGATCTTTAATAGCCCGAGATTATTCTTGGCTTTCTCATCTTTCTATGTCCCTTTTGTTATTCCACTCTATCAGTCACTATTCTACAGCTTCCCGTATTTATTCAATGGAAAGCATAAAGCCAATATTTTATTTCTAGTTCCTGTTGCAGTCTGACAGGCACAATCCTTCCGAGTACTTTTTTCATCACTCCTGTTGGTATTTTGTAAATTCCTTGAGCCAGTGATTAGGACATGCCTGGATGATATTTCCAGTGCCCTTCTTTCCTATCATTGAGGGTACCGGCCCCTGTGACACTCAGTGGCACTCAATGAGACAAAGCAGTCGGTACGAACAGTTCTCAGTAAGAGGCAGCATTATTAAGTATCACAGATGAAGTGACTGGTGGACTTAAAAAATTCCAACAGAGTGGGGTTTGAGAGATAGCACAGCGGGTAGGGCAATTGCCTTGCACGCAGCTGACCTGGGTTCGATTCCCAGCATCCCACGTGGTCCTCTGAGCATCGCCAGGCGTAACTCCTGAGTGCAGAGCCAGGAGTAACCCCTGTGCATTGCCGGGTGTGACCCAAAAAGAAAAAAAATAATAAATAAATAAATAAATAAAAATTTCCAAGAGAAGATGGAATTTAGACTATTGTCCTTGTACCAGAGTTCAAGAGAAGTTGTTTTCTAGAGCCTCGCTTCTCTGAGTTGAGCATCTGAAGCTGAGAGAGTGACAGAAAGCAGTCAAACCATGGTTTTAACACTGGGCCAGCATGCATCTGTTTCGAAGGGCTCCCTTAGCTCGTGTGTGGGCTAAACTATGGCCTGTAGCCAGGAGAATTCCTTAAATCTCCATTGGATCCCATTTCCAAGAAACTAAATAAATGTTGTAACAGATGTTACATTCAGAGATCATAATACATCCTGACATTTCCCTGCCTTGTGTTCTACCTGAGCCTGGGGCAAATATGCAAATGTTACCAGATGTTACTTGTCAGGAGAAAGTGTTTTATGGACATACATTTTTGGGTTAAGAAAGCAAATTATTTGTTGTAGATTCTCTCAACACCATGGCCTTCTAGTATTCTGCTGACAGAATATTACCATTGAAGGATTTTTCACATTTGCATGGCCACAAAATTCTTTTTATATTGAATATCTTTGAGAAAGCCTATCCACAAAGTGAGGCATAGTATTTTAGAATATATCTATAGCAATGGACTTCCTAGATGACAAAATAGATTCTAGTTAGAAGTTTCCCTTAGTCCTAATTTAGCTAAGGAGCACTGTGACAAACTGAGGGCTGGTTCCTTGACTCATGTCAGCCCCTAATCTGATTATTGTAGCCCCAAGCAAAATGATTTCTTGGAGTGTATCAGCTATCTGTCTTATCGTTGCACATGTGTCACACTTTCAGAATATTACTTGACTAAACTGTCACTTTTGTAGCCAATACTTGGTGTGTCCACACCTATACTGGATTCTAATAATTGTGATTTTTAATGCTTCCCAAATTGTACAAATGCTCATATTTTACTATGTTTAGCACTAGAATTTATGAAAAAGAAAAGAATGTTATGTAGAACTGTCTTCATTTTACATACTAACCTTTGGGCAATGGAGACACCATTCCTGTTGTGTGAAACCTTTCCTCTGGAAGAATTCCAGCCCTCCCATGGCCATTTCATTCCATGGTTTTCTGTGTGACTGTGAGTGTGTGGTGATGGGAAGAGACTGGACTAAAGAACTTTTCTGTTGCTTCCTCCACAGACAGCGTGGAAGATGAGCTGGAGATGGCCACTGTCAGGCACCGGCCGGAGGCTCTGGAGCTGCTGGAAGCCCAGAGTAAATTTACTAAGAAGGAGCTCCAGATCCTCTACCGAGGATTCAAGAATGTGAGTTCTTCTGTTTTATTTCACCTCCATTCACCCCTCTAAGGAGTACTGAGGTTTAAGAAGGGAAAGGGGGGAAATGAGCGTTCTGGGCAAGCCACACAAAATGTGCTTTTCATATTTCCCTTCCCTAGATTCAATATTGATGACATTCATTGGGACTTTGACTCACTCTGATATAACAATGATCATGAGTTTTAGTAGCATATTAAATAAGGCAAAGTTCATGAGAGAAAGATTTATTTGATTCTATTCTTAGTTGGGTTTTTTCTTTCTTCAATTCTAAGAGCACTTTACTTTATATTTTATTTTGGAAGGGAGAGGGTATGGGTCTCATCTGGCAATGCTCAGGGGCTACTCTATGTTTAGGGGGTCATTCCTAACCACACTCAGGGGACCATACGTGGTGTTGGGGATCAAACTAGGGTCAAAAGTGTACAACACAAGTGCCTTACGATTTCTCTGGCCCATTTTAATGGCATCATTTTAATGAGCTCCTATTGTCTCTTTATTTGTGAACTATATTCTGTGTTTGACTTGAATCTTAGTAATAATTTTCTCAGAAAGGCCCCATTAGGGAATTCCATTGAGAAATGTCACTGTACATTATTTAACGTTATGTATTAAATATAATATTTCTATTATAATATCACCTTAGTATCTAAACACAATCCTCTGAAAAACTGCTCTGTCAGTAGTCTAAACCATAGGTATATAAACTTTCTACCTTTTTATGGTTCTACCCTCTACCTGCATACCTCAAAAGTATTAAGAGTTTCTGTATTAAACATCACACACAGCTTTCATGCATTGTGTCTTTTCACACTTGTCAAACAGAAGTTAGAATACCCCTTCAGAGCCTAATTAAAGACTAATTGCTTTAGTCTTTCCCTAAGTCTAGAGAGCACCTATTTCATGGCCTGTAGACACCTATAGATCAACTATAAAGGCTTCTGCTACACCAGCTCTGCAAATACGATTGTGTCAGGTGGCATCTCTGTCTAACCTAATGCAGACACGCTAGGTGAAAAGTTTGTCCTCTACTATGGTAAACTCAGATGCATGCGTGCACACACACATTCACACGTTATGGAAAGCTGTTGATTTTCAAAATCTTTCCCAGGATGCCTTGTTAGGCTGTATTTTGACACACAACTTCCATTTATTTGATGCCATGGAGTCTGTCCCTACCATTTCCACTCCTCCCCACATATTTTTCCAATAAATATTTTTATTTTTTTATTATTTCTTTTATTAGTGAAACACCATGGGGTACAGTTGTAGACTTACAAACTTTCGTGCTTGGGTTTCAGTTATACAATGATCAAGTACCCAACCCTCCACCAGTGCCCATTCTCTACCAACAATGATCCTAGTAGCCCTCCGACCCCCACACCCCATCCCCCCTACCCCACCCCGCCTCTGTGGCAGGGCATTCCCTTTGGCTTACTCTTGCCCTTAGGGTGTTGTAGTTTGCAATAGAGGTTTTGAGTGGCCATCGTGTTCAGTCTATAGTCTAATTTCTTTCTTTTTTAAAATTTTTATTAGTGAAACACCATGAGGTACAGTTATAAATTTTTGTGCTTGGATTTCAATTATACAATGAACAAGTACCCATCCCTCCACCAGTGAGCATTTTCCACCACCACAGATTCCAGTATCCCTCCCACCCCCTATCTCCCCAGTCCCACCCTGCCTCTGTGGCAAGTCATTCCCTTTTGTTATCTCTCTCCCTTTGGGTGCTGTGGTTTGCAATAGAGGCATTGAGTGACAATCATGTTTGGTCTATAGTCTACTTTCAGCATGCTTCTCCTATCCTGAGAGGATCCTCCCAACACCCTTTATTTGGTGCTCCCTTCTCTATCTGAGCTGCCTTTTCCCCTAGCAAGTGTGGATGGCCTCCAAGCCATGGAGTAAACCTCCTGGTACTTATCTCAGTTATTCTTGGTTGTTAGTCTCCTATTTTGTTACTTTATGTTCCCAAGAAGAATGCAATCTTTCAATATCTGTACCTCTCTTTCTGTCTCATTTCGCTTAACATGATACTTTCCATGTAGTACCACTTGTATGTAAATTTCATAACTTTCTCTTTTCTAACAGCTACATAGTATTCTGTTGTGTAGATGTACCAAAGTTTCTTTAACCAGTCATCTGTTCTCAGGCATTCAGGTTTTTTCCAGATTCTGGCTATTGTGAACAGTGCTGCCATGAACAAACAAGTGCAGATGTCACTTCGACTATACTTTTTTGCCTCTCTGGGATATATTCCCAAGGGTGCTATTGCTGGGTCAAATGGGAGCTCAATTTCTAATTTTTTAAGAATCGTCCATACTGTTTTCCAAAAGGACTGAACCAGTCGGCATTTCCACCAGCAGTGAAGGAGGGTCTCTTTCTCGCCACATCCGTGCCAGCACCGGTTGCTTTTGTGTTTTTGGATGTAGGTCAGTCTCTGTGGTGTGAGATGATACCTCATTGTTGTTTTGATCTGCATCTCCCTGATGATTAATGATGTAGAGCATTTTTTCATGTGCCATTTTGCCATTCAGATTCTTCTTTGAGAAAGTTTATTTTCATTTCCTCACCCCATTTTTGATGGGGTTGGATGTTTTCTTCTTGTGGAGTTCAACCAGTACTTTGTATATCCTTGATATCGATCCCTTGTTGGATGTGTATTCAGTGAATATTCTTTCCCATTCTGTGGACTGTCTTTGTATTTTTGTCACTGTTTCTTTTGAGGTGCAGAAGCTTCTTAGTTTAAGATAGTCCCATTTGTCTAACTCTGTTTTCACTTGCTTGGCCAGTGGCGTGACTTCTTTGAAGATACCATTAGCTTCAAAGTCATGGAGCTTTTTGCCAACTTTGTCTTAAATGTACCTTCTGGATTCTAGTCTGATGTTGAGGTCTTTAATCCATTTTGATCTTACTTTTGTACATGGAGTTAGGCAGAGTTCTGAACCCATTTTTTGCATGTAGCCATCCAGTTTTTTCAGCACAATTTATTAAAGAGGTTTTCCTTACTCCACTTCACATTTCTTGTTCCTTTATGAAAGATTAGATGATCTATGTTTGGGGGTAGATGTTTAACTCTGTTCCATTGTGTTGCAGCTCTGCCTTTGTTCCAGTACCATGCTGTTTTAACTATTACTGCTTTGTAGTAGAGTTTTGAAGTTAGGGAGTTTGATTCCTCCTATTTTCTTTTTCCCAAGAATTGCTTTAGCTATTTGTGGGAGCTTATTGTTCCATATGAATTACAGGAGTGTTTGCTCCATTTCTTTGAGAATGTCATGGGTATCGTTATAGTGTTCACATTGAATTTGTACAGTGCTTTGGGGAGTATTGCCATTTTGACAATGTTAATTCTCCCGATCCGTGAGCAGGGGATGTCTTTCCATTTTCTCGTGCCCTCTTTTATTTCCTGAAGTCGTGTTTTGTAGTTTACTTTGTACAGGTCCTTTACTTCCTTAGTTAAGCTGATTCCTAGGCACTTGGTTTTCTGGGGAACAATTGTGAACAGGATTGTTTTTTTATATCACTTTCTTCTCTCTTATTCGTGTATAGGAAAGCCATGGACTTTTGGGTATTGATTTTATAGCCTGCAGCTTTACTATACAGTCTATTTTTTCTAGGAGTTTCTTGGTGGAGGTTTTATGGTTCTCTAAGTAAAGTATCATATCATCTGCGAATAGTGAGAGCTTGATTTCTCCTTTCCTACCTGAATGCCCTTAATATGTTTTACTTGTCTAACCGCTATTGGAAGTACTTTCCATACTGTATTGAATAGCAGTGGAGAAACTGTGCATCCTTGTCTCATCCCTGATCTTAGAGGGAAGGCTCTCAGTTTTTTTTCCCATTGAGGATGATTCTTTCTGTAGGCTTGTGGTAGATGGCTTTACCTATATTGAGGAAAGTCCCCCTCTATACCCATTTTAGCGAGGCTTTTCATCATAAGCGGGTGCTGGATCTTGTCAAATGCTTTATCTGCATCTATTGATATGATCATATGGTTTTTATCTTTTCTTTTGTTGATATTGGGCCCGAGCAGTAGCACAGCAGGTGGGGTATTTGCCTTGCATGCAGCTGACCCGGGTTCGATTCCTCTGTCCCTCTCGGAAAGCCTGGCAAACTACTGAGAGTATCCCGTCCACACAGCAGGGCCTGGCAAACTCCCCGTGGCATATTCAATATGCCAAAATCAGTAACAACAAGTCTCACAATGGAGACGTTACTGGTGCCCACTCGAGCAAATCGATGAACAAAGGGAGCACAATGCTACAGTGCTTTGTTGATATGATGGATTATGTTGATTTCCGAATGTTAAACCATCCTTGCATTCCTGGGATGAATCCCACTTGGTCATGGTGTATGATCTCTTTGATGAGTTATTGAATTCTATTTGCTAGTATTTTTTTTTTGAGAATCTTCGCATCTGTGTTCATCAGGGATATTGGCCTGTAGTTTTCTTTTCTTGCGGTGTCTTTGTTTACTTTTGGTATTAGAGAGATATGAGCTTTATAGTAACTGTTTGGGAGTGTTTCTGTTTCTTCAATTTCCTGGAAAAGCTTGAGAAGAACTGGCAATAGGTCCTCTTTAAATGTTTGGAAAAATTATCTAGTGAATCCATTTGGATTTTGGGAAGACTTTTGATTACAGTTTCAATTTCCTTGGTGTTAATAGGACTATTCAGTTACTCTAGATCTTCTTGATTCAGCCTTGGGAGATTATAGGAATCAAGGAATTTATCCATTTCTTCTAAGTTCTCTTGTTTTGTGGCATACAGACTTTCAAAGTAGTCTCTGATGATCTTTTGAATTGCTTTGGCTTCTGTTGTGATATCCCCTTTCTCATTTCTGATTCGGTTTATTAGGGTTCTCTTTCTCTGTTTCTTTGTGAGTGTTGCTAGTGGTTTATCTATCTTGTTTATTTTCTCAAAGAACTACCTCTTGGTTTCATAGATCTTCGGATTTTTTTTTAGCTGGTTTTCATATCATTAATTTCTGCTCTAA